AAGGGGCTGTGCTGTGTGAATGCTCTGAAGCAAAAACAACCCCCTACCCCCCACACAAACCAACAAAACACAACCCCCCAACCCCATGCCTCCCAAACTTTTCAAAACTGGCAAATACTATTTTAGCTACTGAACATTTAAAGTTGGAATAGGAGATGAAATGGTAAATTATGTTACTTCATGAATGACTCAGTAGGCAAGAACATAATTTGACAAACTGGTAGACAGAGTTTAGACTAATCATACTATATGCAATAGGTGGTGAGATAAATCAAGGGTGCTATGACAACTTAACTGCACAATTTATTTTATCCACATACAGTTAAAGGGCCTGTATTCATTGAAACAGTTAACCTGAATTAATATACTTGATCTGGCCCACCCCAGCTCTAGCAATCTTACGTACTAGACAAAATAAATGCAAATTGCTGGGTTCTCTCAAGTGATTGTTCTTCATTTGTGGGGGAGATAATTAATTTAGCTAAATCTAAACAACAACACAATGTTAATTTAACAAGAACCAAAACAGAGTATCAGTAATTGACATGGTCCTGTAGGGGAGCTTAGACTACCCTGCCTTGACAATAAATGGTGATTGATGTCTGCCTCAACCACAGAGCGGATCCCTAAAAAGCACAACCCAGGCCTGTCTCAAGAGTGGTGCATATAAGCACGCAGGCATGGTTTGGGAGGGAGAAGGAATTTAGAGGCAGGAATTGTTTTGCATAACAATGCAGATTAAGCCTACTACAATGAGAAAACATCAAAAACGCATGACAATCAATCTTGTACTGGTACTTCTGTTTCTGATCAGCAAAAATTACAGGTGAAGCCATAAAAACGTCAATTACGTAGTTTTTGCAACATCCTGAGAGCAGCAAGAATTTACCCCAAATAGGGCATTGGGCATTGTAGGTATCTTATACAATACATAATTAATCGGTAAATATTATTAGAAAGACCAAGTCTCACTTTGCTATAAAATGGGCTTAGTAAGAAGAATTGATGGAGGGAGTGAGCAGGATTGACCCACAGGTCCTGCTCGATGTAATGAGAAGTAAATAGGCCCTTCACACCGGTGACCCCAATGTATGGCGTTCAGATACATAGGAATCAAAGGAACCCGACCTTCTGCCTGATACTGTAGGTAGCATACGCATGCAGTGTAAGTGAACTAGGCTCTATTATTGTATTCTAGTAGATCTTCTATTAATTGCTTTTGCATTGCTTTGCCCTGTATTAATTGCTTTAGAATCTATAGTATTTAAGGTTTAAATTGTATAGTAATTGCTTTTAAGGCTTGTAAAACTTAAAACAACTGCTTAAAGCCTGTAACAAAGTGGTTAAGTCTCTCTGGAGTGTCCTGGTTTCCCTTGGATCTAAAACAAATCGAACCATACAACAATCGGTGTCACAAACAGGATCTGAGGGACCCAGATAGGTCCATGAGATTTGGGGACCATGCCACTTTTCAACAGTGGTATGGGAGGAAAGGAAAGGACCAGGGGATGATGCTGGGATGGGCACTTGTTAACCCCTGGACTGTCCTTGCATGTTTTACCAACCAAACTCAGCTGCTTGTCAGCTGGGATTGAGAAAAGTCAAGTAACT